CTGCATTTTCCCAGGTATCTTTTTACTCCGCATCCTCGGCGGAGCGATACGGGTTTCCAATGGGTGCGGGACACTTGCCAGATGTTCCTGTGTGATCATGCCCGTAAAATCCGCCTGATATTTGTCCCTATTGTGCGGCTAATTCTGCGTGTGACTGGGACCTTGGTTACCATTTTCTGTACTTTTTTCCAGCACAGACCAGTGGCAGGTCTGATGAAAAGACAGACAATGGGAAAGCACCAAGCAAAAGTAGATATTGCACTCACACACATTCACACACAAACCTAGGGAGGCCAAAAATCTAGAGAGAGAAAAATGTTCTATCCTTAATGTTTGGAAATGGGTAGGCGACGTCTCGTGGCACAGAGGTTAGAAACATCCCATTAAAACTCTTAAAAGTCTTTTTCTGCAGGCTGCTGGCAACCTTACCCCACCCCCACCAGTGGCTAACGGGTCGGAAGAATTTGAAGAGAAGCAGGGATTCTCGCTCCTTGTCACATCTGCTGTTTGTGGCGAGGCTTCACTGACAAACCCACAAGGCAATACAAAGTAGCTATGAAGCTTTGTAATACCAGAATGCTGTTCTTAAATTTTTTCCCTTTTCAATCTGTTCCATTCTTCTGTGTAGCCTGTAGGTAAACATTTCCATTAATTTCCCCAAACTGAATCTTCCTAATGTTTCCAACACCTTCTTAGCCGATACTTTCTAAAATATTTCATTGCCTCGTCAGAAATTATGGGTAGGGAGGAAGGGACGGATAGACACCACTATGCTTTACTCTCCTGTAAATGCTCGTCAGAACTTTATTAATATAAAGGCATGATAAAATTCTTTATCTTGTTCCCGTTCTTAGCACTGGCAACTGTGTTTGCTGTCTTTCCTTCTTCTTCTTTTGGGATACACTGTACAGAGCCTTTCATTAATGTGTCTTTTATTATGCATAAGCCTCTTGCTTAAGAGGCCACAACTAATTCATAAACCATTGCAGCATATAAGTAATTTAAAATCATCATTGGCAATGTAAATCCTCTTTCATGACAACTCGGAATTTTTATCTGCCAGGCAATCTACTTTTTAAGACCCACTGGAACAAGCTTCATGATTTTACTATTTTTATGATTGCAAATAAAATAAAAGTCTTGGACTTTCAAAAATACTGGGTTCAGATATAGGAGTAGTAGGTGGCTCAGTGGTACAGAATTTGCCTGGCCTGCATAACGGTCCCAGGTTCAATCGTCACATTGCCAGCTAAAGAGATCAGGTAACGGGTGATATGAAATGCCTCTGCCTAAAACCTTAGAGAGCTGCTGCCAGTCTTAATAGCAGGGGTCATTTCCTGCAGGAGCGCACAGGAGCGGAGCTCCAGCAGTAAAGAGCCCAGGGGGTGGGCACATGCAACAAGCCCCACCCCCTGCTTCCAGCAGCCCTCAGTCAGAGCAAGAAGCAGCCAGGTAAGTTGCAGAGCTCCCCCCGGTCCAAAACAGTCCAGTGGCACCTTTAAGACCAAGTTTTATTCAGGTACAAGCTCTCCCTCCTCTGTGAGGACAGATCTGCACATTCTCCCCCCCCCCAATAGCTTGCAATCCAAAACAGTCCAGTAGAGCCTGAGTGGTGGGTGTTGACTTCTGACACACTTCTGATGATGACAGGGGGTGTGGCATATGCAAACAAGTTATGCTAATGAGCTCCTGCACCTCTTTTTCTACGAAATGACCCCTGCTTAATAGACGCTATTGACCTTGATGGACCAATGGTCTAATTTAGTATAAGGCAGCTTCATGTATTCATACAAAATTCCGGGCAAGTCAAATAAGCTGAATTATTATCAGTGGCTATCTAATGGGAATGTATCTGTCCATTTTGAAACATCTACACACTGGCTGCTAATTTCTTTCTGAACTCAAGGTGCTGGTTATGACCTTTAAAGCTCTTCATGGTCTGGGGCCAACGTATCTGAAGGACCATCTCCTCCCATATGTCCCTGTGTGTTCAGGTCGTTACCTGCTACCTGTTCTCCCACTTAGAGTTGCCCACCTACTATTAACCAGAGCCCAAGAGAGCCAAATTGGTGTAGTGGTTAAGAGCAGTGGACTCTAATCTGGAGAACCGGGTTCAATTCCATGCTTCTCCACATGAAACCAACTGGGTGGCCTTGGGCCAGTCACAGTTCTTTCAGAGCTCTCTAGGCCCCTAAAAACAAGTCTAGCTTGCCACTAGCAGAACGCTAAGAGCTAGAACTTGCGGCTGCCAGACAACCTTAGGATCTCCTGGCTATTCTACACACGGTGCCGTACGATCATTAAATAATTAATTAACCGGAGCCCAGGCCTTTTTTCATCATGGTTCCCACCCTGTGAAATGGGTGGGGCAAGCCCCCTCTTTGGAGATATTCAAAAAGTGCTCCAAGCCTTATTTGGAGTATGAATAGTAGGCATATTGGGTTGTTTTTTTAAAAATATCTGCGGGTTCTATTTCATTTAGTTTTAATTAATCTGTTGTATTTTCATTACTAGTGATCAGATACTCTGATCCAGCATGTACTCTGATCCAGCAGGAAAGGGAGGGTACACACACACACAAAATTAGGAGCAACCAAACTGGCACAAAACACTGTGCAAGTTTTCAAGCTCTCATCGGAACTCTTCATCAGGCTGGAGGTTACAAAATATTTTTAAAAGCACCGGGGGGGGGGGCAGGAGGAACAGAGCTTTCAGGTTGTGCCATTGAGACATGGTCTTCCTGGCATTCTCTATAAAATGAAAAGCAGGTATACCGCTTCACTTTAGTGCTGGTTTCAGGTTACAGCATATTCTGTAGGAAGCAAGAAGCAAGCCATGGTGGGTGTGTGACACCCGATTTGAAGAAGCGACAAATACAAAGTGTTGTTGCTAAGGTACCTCTGTTTTGATTCGTATGCCCAGGGGTCATTTAAGGGGGGACGCGGGGGGACGCCATCCCCCCGGGTGAGGTGCAGGAGGGCGGGGCCTGGAGCTCCCTGCTGGTGCCCGCTGGAGGTCGCCGCCGGCTGTGGGGAGGACACACTTCCGGGGATGTCAGGGGGTGTGGCATATGCTAATTAGTTATGCTAATGAGTCCCCCTAGCTCTTTTTCTACGAAATGACCCCTGCATATGCCCCTTCGCTTTTGAGGATGCTATTGTTTGGTCTCCCCCCCCCCAACCAGCTGTTTATATTGCATGCTTGGAACAGTAGGCTGTTAATGTGGGCATTCTAATGCTTTGTATAGTTGCTGAATGCTTGATATTATTCTGACTGCTTTGATTTGATAATTCCTCCAGGTCATTTGCTTATGCTATTCCCTTCAGTATAGACCTTGTTGCCATTTTCACTCTATCTGGATTGTCAGTATTCGTTCCAAGTATGTAGAGGAGCTTCACAACTTTTTCAGCAAATCCCTTACAAATGTTTGTAGGGGTCACTGCCTAGAGGTAGGCATTCTTTAGCACAGGAGTGTGAGGGGTAGTGGAAGGAAACCTTCTTCCTTGTGCTTGGCTTAGGGTGCGTACTCCTGTGCTGAACAATGCACTTTCGATCCACTTTGCAGCTGGATCTTCCATTATGAAATGGCAAGATCGACTTGCAAATGACTGTCGAAGTGGATTGATGGCCAGGGTCCAGCCTACCTGAGGGACCGCCTTTCCCCATATGTTTCCCCAAGAGCACTACGGTCAGGGGCCCAAAATTTATTAGTCATCCCAGGCCCCAAGGACATCAAACTAGCTGCTACGAGGACCAGGGCTTTTTCGGTGGCGGCTCCTACCTGGTGGAATGAGCTCCCAGGGGAGATCCGGGCCCTGCGGGACCTTATGCAGTTCCGCAGGGCCTGCAAGACGGAGCTCTTCCGCCAGGCCTTTGAGTAGGAGCCGCTGCCCCTACTATACCACCAGCACCATGGTTTGGACGGGGCCCTGAGCAAACATCTTAATATTGAAGAAGCCCTAAGCCGTGGGAAGTACCACTCGGAACTTCGGACCTACGATTTGCCATCTTTGGACTAGGGCTGCCAAATCCCCCCGGGGGCGGATTTCCCCCCACTTTGGAGGTCCGATTTCCGCCCCCGGGGGAAACCCCACCCCCGTGTGCACGTCACAGGAAAGTGACGTCGTGACGCCGGGCACACTGGGGGTGGGGCACAGCCATTTGAGGGGAAAACCCTATGTTTTCCACTCAAATGGCTGTGCCCCGCCCCCAGTGTCCATGGCGTCATGACGTCACTTCCCTGTGACGTGCATGCGGCGCACGCCTGCCGGGAGCCAGCACAAAGTCCCCCGCCGGCAGAGGTAAGTCGATTTGGCAATCCTACTTTGGACCTATAGAAATTATTGAGCACCATGTTTTAACCTAGGATGTTTTAGGATGTATTATATGTTTTTAAATTACTATGTATACTATGTTATTATTATTGGCAAGGTTTTGCCTTGCCCCTGTAAGCCGCCCTGAGCCCATCGGGGAGGACGGGGCATACATGCAATAAATAAATAAATAAATTGAAAGTGCATTATTCAGCATGTGAAAACAGGAAGGTGGCCACATTCATATCGATATGTATCTACTGTGTGTCTTCCTGACCATGCCCATTATTCATTTCAGAATTTCATATTTGCTGATGGATGCCAGAAGTGTTCAGTTTGGGGACTTCCATAGTAATACGTATCCCCTTATTAATTATCATCTGCTTTCTAGAGCCTGAGTCCTCATCAGCCTTCCCTGATTAGAGTTCCTTATATTTGAATAGTCATTGTGTTGCTCTTACATTTGACCTTGAATTGCAAGGGAGCTGGAGGGGGGGGGCGGCGGCGCAAAGAGCCCATGAAGTAGACACTACTTGTGTATTCCGAGTACACCGTTCCTGCAAGGGAATGCCGTAAGAAAACACGATATGCAAGCCAAGCCAAAGGCTTCATGGTTTATTTATGAGGAAAGTGGCATATGATTCGCTGAAAGGGGAGAGAGAAGAGGGGGGGGATCTTTTGACATACCTTGTCGGTGTACACAAAGAAGAGAGTCACGACGGTGAGCTCCAGCACGAATATAATTAACAGCATGATAAAAAACTGTCAAGAAAAGAGGGGACGGGTGGGAAAGAAACAAAAGCCCAGAGACATCAAAACCTGTTTAATTTTTCCTTATATTGCACAACAGAAGCATCCATGCAAAAAAAAAAAAGATCGGTCTCAATCAGACATCCTTCTCACTGAAAGGACTTGCTGCGTGCCCTGGCTGTTCCACTTCAAACAACAACCCGCGTGACTGAATGCACCTCCGTACCCCTTCTTCCCTCCTCCACAATTCTCGCACCTGTTAGGAAAAGGTACCTTCTTCTGGACATGCTCATTTCCTGGATACGGGGAACTGTTTTGCACAGAGGCATATGCAATTGTGTGACTCTCACCCGCAGACTGAACTGGTACAGTTCAGGCATAAGTTTACCACCTCAAGGAGAGCTATGCCCAAGTTGCTCACATGCAGATAGTGGGCTGGGTCCCAACTAAAATTTCTATGTGTGTGTGGGGGGGAGGGAGGTAGGTTTGATTTTTAACAGTTCACCCCTCCCATGGCCAACCTCAGGAATCCTTCAAGGAATGCCAGCAAATAGGGGATTTTGCCCACTGCTGGTGGAACTGTATAAAGATTCAGAGCTTCTGGAGGGAAGTGCTTAGGATTATTAAAGACGTTACCTCAATACAAATTCCACTTAAGCCAGAGATATTATTTTTAAACACGTGGCCATGTGAACTGTTTGGTAGGACACACAAAGCAACTATTGAAGTCATGCTGGATGCTGCTAAAACTACAATTGCGTCTTATTGGAAGGACACTAAAATACCAACGGTGGGAGCATGGTTCTGCAAATTATGGAACCACTATCTGATGGATGCAGTAACCAACAATTTAAATTACATTTCTCAAAGCTCAAATCAAGATGCCTTTATTGGTTTCCGGTTCTAGATTATTTAGTCCAACAGCAATATATTTCCTCTGAATGGTCCCAATTTCAAAAATGGATTTGATGTTTTGTTCCTAGCTTATATGTTCTGGTTCTACGCTTAAGTATAGGTATATTTCCTTTGCATCTAAGCACCTAATTTAAGTTGTATTTATTCACTTAAAGATATAGACTGAGTACTTATAGATTATTCTTGAATGACGTTATGTGACAATCAGTCAGATCATACTATTTGCGTGCCCTCTTCATAGAGAAAAATGTTGTATTATGCGCAAAAAGTTCTATGTTGTTGTTATTAATTCATTGTTTTGTATCTCAACAACACTGAAAAAAAGGTGTGTTGTGTTTGTACGTATTATGTAAATGTAACTGTTAACAGTCCAGGGCTATTTTTGGGCAGGAACGCACAGGAACGGAGTTCCGACTGGCTCCCAAGTTGGCCACATCCAGCAGGAACTCATTAGCATAATAGGCCACCCCCAACAGCAGAAACTCATTAGGATTGGCTGCATTAGGGGTGTGTGGCCTAACATGCAAAGGAGTTCCTGCTACAAAAAAAGGCCCTGGGTTTTGACAACAAACAAGGTAAACAGAATAACAAGCAAAAGGTGGGTGTGGCTGGATAACCACACTTCTGGTAACATGGGGGTGCAGCCTAATGTGCTAATGAGCTGTGCTGTCAGGTGTGGCCTATTATGCTAATGAGTTCCTGCTTGACTTTTTCTACAAAAAGAGCCCTGGTTAACACCAATAAAAACTTTTTTTTAAAAAAGAATCCTTCAGTCAGCAGAAGTGGGTGGGGTTCAGATTAAAAGAAGCCAAAGAACCCCTGAGAGGAACCAAAGTTCTAGACACACAGAGGACCTGCTTTCAAGTGCAGCTGTGCTTGCATTAACTTCAGTAAGAGTGGAGGTAAAGGCACCGGTGGTGACTTCATAAATGGTAGTGCCAATAGTGTATCTTTTTCCTGTCCTCTCCTCAAATTTGGTTTGATTATTACAGCACAATCTTTGATGCTCCTGACAATATCTTACTAGACACCGATAACACCATCCCAGCAGACATTCCCAACTGGCCTCCGGTAACTGTGGATAAAGTGTTTGATTTGATCTCAGAATTGAAACTAGGCAAGGCTCCAGGCCCCGACGGGATCCCGGCAGAAGTTCTTTCCAAACACCCTTGCTGGTGGTCCTTACCTTTACTTAATCTGTTTACTTTAATTAATAAATCTGGAAGGATTCCCCAGTCATGGTTGAATTCTATTATCATTCCAATTTTTTTTTAAAGGAAATCCTCATTGCCCAGAAAGTTATAGGCCAATCAGTCTTTTATCTATAATAGGCAAGTTATATGCCAAATTTCTAGAAAGATGGTTAAAAACATGGATATACTCTCAGCAGATAATCAGTCCTGAACAAATTGGATTCTTGGAAGGTAATTCTACTGTAGACCACTGCTTTCTTCTAACTTTCCTGGCCGATAAATATGAAATCGGGCACTAAACAATTGTACACAACCTTCATCGATCTGAAAGGCGCTTTTGATTCAGTTTCCAGAGAATTACTTTGGAGAAAGCTTGAAATTTTGAATATTGATCCTCGATTATTATTTTTAATGAGAAAGCTCTACTCATCTACAGTCTGACAAGTTAAATATTTGGAAACTGGTCATTTAACTGCTAAAATACCAACTTTAAAAGGAGTAAAACAAGGATGTATACTGGCCCCACTTCTTTTTAATCTATTCTTGAATGATCTCCCATCAAGGTTGGAGCATGTCAACGGACACCCTCCTAAACTGGGATCTCAAAAGATCCCGCTTTTACTTTATGCAGATGACACTACAATCCTTTCTTGTACCGAGATCGGAATTCTCAGATATTTGCCCGCTTTTCATAAATTCTGTGCTGATAACTCTTTGGTAATTAATTACTCAAAGTCCAAAGCGTTGGTCTTTTCTAAACGTTGGAAGCCTATGAAGTGGACAGTAGGGAAAACTGAGATTGCCCAGGTTAAAAATTTCAAATATTTAGGGATTATGTTTCAATATAAGCTTAAATGGGCAACCCATAGATCCCATATATTTTTTTAGTTAAACAATCTGTTTCACACCTTAAACAATTCTTTTATTCCAGAGGGTATCAATATTTACTGGGTGTCATAAAGATCTTTGAAATCAAAATTCTCACTCAATTATTATATGGCATTCCCGTTTGGATAACGGGCTTTCATAGCAATTTTGAAAGACTACAGGCCTGGTCTTGAACTCCAAATGTTATGTTCTCTACAATTTCACATAATTTCTGAGGCTCAGCTGAATCTCCCAATTCAGTATGGCCAGATGTCCCACTATCTTCACAACTTAGTCCAGCCTTCGCACCATAGAGCCTTTACATTAGCCCGTCTAAATGTTTCCCCTTCAAAAATGCTCTCAGGTCGGTTTAATAAAATCCCCCTACATGAAAGGTTATGCTCTTGTCCTTTAAAATCTGTGCATTCAATATATCATATTATTTTTGACTGTCAATTTCACTCAGCCATACGCCAAGAATTGCTGTCATCTTCATTTCCTCCTAATTTGAGTTCTAATAGGGAAAAGGCTATTCAGTATCTACTAAAGGATACTAATCCTAATATTACAGCTCTAGTGGCCAGGTTTCTTGCTGAAGCAGTCAAAGTTAGATCTATTCTCGTAAAGGAATTATTCATATTGTTTATTATGTTCCTAAATATCTATACTGTGTTATTGGCCGAGTTCAGACTGGCAGTTAGAAGCAGGAGGGAGTCGTTGTAAAAAAGAGCCGGAACAAACTGTTCCGGGTCTTCCCAGTCACACTGCGCGGACTGATGTAGGAGGATACTGGGAGGAGGCACGAGGGTGCGTTCACTGTTGGCCTGGAGGCGTGGCTGTAAGCGGCATTTTCCTCATGGCAGACGCCTACGCGCATGGGCGCCTAGGCGCAACGGCAAATAGGGCAGGATCCAGCTGCTGTGGGCCACATCCGGCCACATCACTACCCCCTCTTGAAGGCAATCACCTGTACCTTCCTGGTGCCAGAGTGAGGCTAGGAGGTCAGTCAGCGTAAACAGCCAGCGCACATTATTAATGCGGGCTGTTCCCGGCTTTTAGCAGCTAGCGTTCACACTTCCGGGAAGCGGAATGAAGCGGGATAAACGGGCTCTCCAGGCTTTGCTACTGCTTTCACCAGGTATCTTTTAAACCCGGGAGGGAAGCATTACAAGACAGATTGAGTACGGGTGGGGAACGCCAGACAGATGTGCCTGTGTGAACGGCCCCTTTAATCCGCTTGTGAAACATTCCTCACATGCGCCTATATCGGGGCAAACTGCCAGTCTGAACTCAGCCTACTGCTATACTATTAAAGGTATTTGACTTTGACTTTGGTAGTGCCTCGGACTGAGAGAGATTATCCAACTTTGCAACTGCACTTGGCCATCTCATTTGGGAATCTTGTTCTGGTACATAAACGTACACTAAAAAACTCACATTGTGGCTCTCAGGAAGGAAAAAGAGATCTCTTAAGTGGAAGGAGAAATGCATACCTGATGATTTCTAGCCTCAATTTCCGAGGTGAACTGAAAATGTGAGGAGGCTGTTTTGAAAATAACTAATATGATGGTTGCATGTGATGACAGAACAAAGTTTGAGTCCAGTGGCACCTTTAAGACCAACAAAAGTTTTATCCTGGGTATAAGCTTCTGTGTGCATGCACACTTCATCAAATATGTGATGACAGTGTGGTGACAGAGGGCATCACACATACAAACACGTATCTTTCCTCCAACTTTTCCCTTTCAAATTGAAAGCAGCTTCAGGGAGCTTTTAGTTTGGTGGAGGAACCAGGGGTCATTTCGTAGAAAAAGAGGTGCAGGAGCTCATTAGCATAATTTATTAGCATCTTATTTGCATATGCCACACCCCCTGACATCACCAGAAGTGTGTCAGAAGGCAACACCCAACCGTCAGGCTCCACTGGACTGTTTTGGATAGCTAGCTATTGGGGGGGGGACACGTAGATCTGTTCTCACAGAGGAGGGAGAGCTTGTACCTGAAGGTGGGTCAGGGGAGGCTCTTGCGCCTCGTGGCCTGATTGAGGGCTGCTGGGAGCAGGGGGCGGGGCTTGTTGCATGTGTCCATCCCCTGGGCTCCTTACTGCCAGAGCTCCGCTCCTGTGCGCTCCCGCAGGAA